AACATTCAACCCGCTACTTTGTTATCGGCCAGCCTGTTCATTAGGGTATCGTAAAAGAGAATAACTCCCGAGTTTTTCGGAGTATTTTCCCCCGATATCGGTCGTTTCTTTACGTTTTTATTGAGGACCCATAAAAATTATTTGTCCTGGTCCGAGTGGCGTCCACTTAACGGCCATCGGAACGAGCTGCCGCAGAGCATCGAATAAAAATCAACGGGAAAGGCTTTAAATGGCCATAAGAACTGCGTCCACTTATCGCTGGACGAGATGGAGAGCGTTTATCTGTGGAGCAGGAGCTAATTACTCCCCTGGACTGGCCTTTCTCCACGGCATTTCTCCGCATCTCTATCGGTTTTATGCCCGCGTTAATTACCTGCCGCGGAGATTTCCCACTGCTTACGTTTTATTTTTATGGCATTTCCCGGTAAGAGCCGCGTGAAAAGTTCTCCGCACTCTGCACTCCGCACTCGATCGAAATGACTGTGTAACCTTTGACCTTTTTAATGCTCTCGATTCTCACAGTAAGGGATTACAGGCGCCCATGTCCTTGCCAAAGGCTTGGGAACACAACTGCGGATTAGGGGTTGGAATTATGAAAGTTTATCCGGCGGGCGAATTATGATGCCACTGGAAATTTGATAGAGATTTATGATTTTTTAATGTCTCTGCGGTGGGGACTTGGTGATTGGACAAATCTCTGAAGACCAATATGCTAGTAGTCGGGTTAAGGTTATAATAGGAGGTTAAGAAACAAAGTAAATTTAGGAAAAATATTTGATATCCTTGAATACTTACTAAAATAAATTAAATTAAAATAAATAATTAAATAAATTAAAATAAAAATTCATCAATTACTGTTCTAGATTTCGTTATAATACGTTTGTATTTTGTAATTGTTTTTATTAACTTTAATATTAAAATAAAATGGAACACAGTACGCTTATAACTTTCTTTCGTGGGTTGGTAATTTAGGTTTTTGAGCAGTTTTTTATGCTCTGATTTCTCACACTGTCCCATCCATCCATCTATGAATTGATTGCTCATTTATAAAGTGTCTCCCCCCTCGGGCGATGGGCCGTCGAGGAAGTGCAGGAAAACTGGATGGATGGGCATATTGTGGCAGTCAGTTAGGCAATTTCCCATACGCACACGCCCGTCACAACGGCCACACCCTCCACCACCGGGAGAAGCACCCAAAAGCGGTCCTTTTGGCTGCAGTTTCCACCACCCGAAAGAGGACACAATTGCAGCATCCAAGGAGCGGCGACCAGGGCCAAACTGAGGACTAAGCGGATATTCATTACACGAACCGCACGCCGGCACGCGTTACCGCTTTGGCCGCCTTAGCACCCCCTCGTCCTTGCCGGTGTCCTTGGTCCTGGGTCCTTGGACGAGCTTACACTTTACATATGTCACGGATATCCCCGTGGGAGGGTTTCGCGCCGTTTGACTTTCGAGCAAAGTCAGGCCGCTGATCCTGTTTGCTGTAAATAATGCGATTAACGGCATCACGCAGCCAGCTCCTGATCCTGGTTACTTGGGGGAGGGGCTGGGACGGCAGGGCCCCTGTTAATGAGCCACCAAAGGAACTGCGCTCCAGCGAGAGTTTCCCGGATTAGAGCTACAAATTCGCGCCTAAGCATGGTGTGAAATATGGAAGAATACAGCACGGAAAAAAGAGTTCGAGCGGAGAGAACAAATCAAATGATTTATGACTGATTACTAAAGCTTAACAAGGTTAACTGACCAAAAAAAAAACTTTACAAATACCACACATAATAAGCAAACTTATGCCTTGTTTCTTAAAAAGCTTTTAAACCATTTAATGATTTTTTTTACAAACTTGAAAATATATTAAACTTTCTGTTTTTTAACAGCATAGCTTGCTACTACTTTGAAAGAAGTTGTTTCCTCTTCCTCCATTTTGGCATGGTTTCACCCCATTTCTCTCAGTGTAACAACCAACCACTGATGGGGGAAAAATGAAAAATTATTGCTTCGGTTTCAGTTTCGACTGGGCTTGGTTTTGTCATTGTCTATCGCCATTAAAGTGTCTTTAGTGCTCCACGACGTATGCCATTCACTGGCTTGGAAGTAATTTTTATTAACTCTGCCAAAAGTGCACAAAATAATCGCATTAACGCCGATCCGGCCCCACTCCCCCTGTCCCCCTCTCCCCCCCCATCCCCCTTTAGTTAGCCACGTGTGAGCTGGTTGAATGACTAACTGAGTGAATGACTGGATGACTGGTTGACTGACTGACTGCCAGGTCGGCGGTGTCATTGTCGTGTCGGGCCGAAAAGGTTGGGAAACGCCAGCGGGTAGCATCTGGAGATTTTCCTTGCACTTTTGTCTTTGGGCGTGTCGCCGTTTTCGGAAAATCTCATTTTCCAGCCAGGCGCGGTCGAGAGCCAAGTGTGCGAAAATTTGATAAACGCCGACCCCCAAAAGGCGCATGATTTATGGATCGGCATCGACTGAGAGGCAATGGTAGAGGAAGAGCCGGCCCAGGCCAATCCAATTCGCAACTCGCAGTTCACAATCCACAATCCATGGACCACGGACCACGGCCCGTAACTCGTAACCCATAACCTGGCTTGGCTCTAAGCTGAAATCAGAACGGAGGAGGGCGGAGGGGGTGTGGCAGCGGTTTGGCAGCATAAAGTGCTAAAAAAGGCTCAATAAAACCACACATAAAAATTGACTAAATACAAAACATGACAGACGGCGTGCGAGTATTAATAATAATGCGTTCGGCCGACGGCCCAGTCCGCTTTTGGCCTTCTCCCCCATATCGCCCCCTTCAGCTGCTGCCGTTGTTGTTTATAAAGTGCAAAAAACGTTGTACTCTTTTTCACATTCACATTCGATAAAAATCGCATGATCATAAATTTACACTTTGCACAGCCTCCGCGGCAACGCCCACCCCAAAAAAGAAAAAGAGGGAAGAAAACCAACCGAATGCACATGACCAAGCGGGAGGGGAAGGGGTGGCGGGCTGGTCACTGAGGGGGCGGAGATATATATACGAAAAGATATACACGCAATGGCAGGGAGAATCTGGCAGCCCATGGGACGCGTGAACGATTGGTAAATTGTTGTGGTCAGGATTGGTTTGGCTCGATTCGGAATCGGAATCGGTTCGCATTGCCTTCTCAGAGGTCCCTCGCGGTATGTTTTGTGGCAATTGCAATCAGTGGGTTTCCAAAAGAAGGGGTTCGGGATCGAATAGCAGGTACTCTATAAAATTACATGGCATTAAACTACAATATTATTAATTTAAATACAGTAATCAGAACGGAATGCTGTCAAAAGTAATATTCTATGTTAAATACTTTACTTTACTTTACTTACTTTACTTTATTGGTAAAATCAAGACCACCTCTTTATAAAATCCTTTTTCGAAAGTGCTTCTAGAGTAACTCACAGTAACAGTCTCACCTTTTATTATTAGAAATTAATTAAATGTCAAGTCATTACCAGCTATTTCACTGAGCATTTGTCGAATTACGATTAATTTCCACAGATGGGTGTATTGATTGTCCGAATCAGCCTCATATACCCGCGTTCACACCCCCTTTAAAACCAGGGAATTGAGGGATAAAAATGCATTTATTGCCTTTCGATTTTTTACAAATCGTTGAAATATTTTTCACAGAAAAGCCGCGTGCGCTTTACATTTCAAATGCGAAATTTTCGGGCGGGTGTGGGCGTCTCTTGCCACGCCCACTTAGCGCGCGGTGTGAAGTTATTTAATTGCCAAGCGATTTGCGCGCGTTTTGCGGGCGATTTGTGACGCGTTTTCGGTCGCACTCAATCGGTGATGCTGCTCCCCATCCCTTTTCAGTCCATCTCTCCATTTCTCTCCCTCTTTCTCTTTGGGCCGTCTTATCGCCTTGGCCAAATCATCTGCTGGCGCATAATTAATGAGCTGCACATCATTAGCATATTTCTAATTTAATCAAAATGATTTGATTCGCATGCCCAGCAATAACAACAACAACAACAACGAACCGTACATACATATATTGAAACAACAATCGAAAATGCAAGAACAACAACAAGCGAGGTGGCTTTGTGTGATGCATGTGCATGTCGCTGCAACATTATAAATAAATCAAAATACAATTTCTCAGAAATTGCGATGCCCTATCAAAATCCAGCGAGGAGAGACCCCCAAACATAAACACGGGCGAAATTTCCACCCAAAACATGTTGATAGGTGCCCTCGCTGCTCTTGGGGAAGGAAAAGAAGAAGGGAAAGGGGGGCGGGGCAAGTCGGGGTTATAATGCCTACATATGGGCACACACACACATACACCTACATATATATGACTATAGGCTAGTGGCAAGGTCTACGCAAATGCAAACGCCAGAAATCCACGGCCTCGAAGGAAACATGCAAGAAGTGCCAGCAACGAAAGGCGGAAAAGTCGATGTTTAACCAGCTCCCCTCTTTTATCTGCCCCCTCTTGGCCAAGTTCCAGGCAGAGTCTTAACCAGTCTTAGCCCAACAGCAGCCCCCCAGCCACAGAGCAGTCCACATGTCCTCCTGTGCATGCCGTGCAATTATTTTGAATTAAATTCGTATTTTGCTCGAATCTTGTAAGTGCATCTTGTTCGGCTGGTCCGGTGTGCTCTCTGCTGCACAGAAAGAAATAAAAACCAGAATAAGAAATCTATACCAGCTTTTCCAATTTTATTTTTAAAATCTAGTATCGACTTAATCTATAACGTAATTACTTGCACTCTACTGATAACAACTAATTCATATACATACATTTAAATACAATGGTTTTCATTTACAATCACTTTCGAAGAATAACTTGCAGTGTATTACTTTTGCTTCTCTCTTCACTGCCTTTTCTCTGGTCTGGACACTGTTTCTTTCCACACGTTGCTAAGATTTCATATGCAAAATATATAGATCTTCCATGTATGTACATAGGTGATGCGCCTAAATGATACCCTTCACATTTATAAAATAAAGAGTAGAAGGCTTAACTAACTCACATCTTAGTTTTATTGGTTTAAATCAAGTTTAAACTACATTCATACATTTTTTTAGGATAATTTGTTCTAATGTTTAATGAATATACATATATTTTAGTAACAAGGTGTTATTGTTTTCACAGATTTTATCAAGCAATAGCATGCTTCCATCGCTCTGATTATTAGAGGGTAGCACCTGATAGCTGCAAACAAGTAAGTAAGGAGCGACACAAACGATATATCCACAACACGCCAGGAGAGTAGAAAACACAAGCGCTAAATTGACATCAAATTGGCGTTTATTTGGCCAGCGGAGCAGCTTGTTGTCCCGTCTATTCGCTGGATGTGTGCTGTTTGGGGAAACGGAGAAAGGATAAGCGATTGGGCCAGAGTGTTGACTAGGCTCATACTTCGGAGTCCTGCTCGTCGAGCCGGCGTCCGCTGCTTCGGTTGGTCAGGTTGCCTCCGCCAAGGACATGGGTTCTCCTCCAGCGACGAAACCTCCGCAGACAGCCCTCCTCCTCCAGGATGTGATAGAGGTTCATCAGCAGGATGGCCAGCACCACCAGCAGGGTAACGAAGGCCAGGATGTCCCTGAGGGTCCAATACGGATGAATCCCACTGACTCCCGCTTGATCCCACTTCTGGGCCTCCGGTTGACCGCCACTCGGTGGCCATTCGATGTCCACCTGGCTGCTGTTTATCCTTGGAACCCCTTTCTCTGGCCTCGCCTGCAGGTGCACTCCTCGGTCACTGAGGTAGACAAACATCCTGCGATACACTCCCGGTGCCCAGGCATTGTCATGCAATCCCAGCTCCGTGAGATCCTCGTGCTGCTTGTGGAAGAGTTCGTAGTCGAAGGTGTTCAGGCGGTTTCCCTCGATGAAGAGACTCTCCAGAACGGGGAGATCTCGCAGTACTTCAACCTCTAGAGTAAGCATTGAGTTATGAGACAAGTCCAAGTAACCAAGACGCGAAGAGAGGATTGGCGAATCGGAAGGCAAGTGAACCAATCGGTTGTTGGCCAAATTCAGGTACTTCAAGCTGGGCAGGAGGAACAGCTCCTGGGAGTCCGCATCCTCCGAACCACTGTCATGTAGCGGCAGTGACTCAATTAAATTTTTGGATAGATCCAGCCTCTGCAGATTCCACATTCCCCTAAGGAACCCTGCGGTTTCGTTTCCACTCAGCAGATTGCCATGCAAATCCAACTCGACGACAGAACTTTTGTTGTCCACTTGCAGATGACTCAGCTCGTTGTTGCCGGCCTGCAGTTTGATAAATCCTCCGCTGATAACCAAGCTGGTTAGGCTGCTGCCCTCCAAGGTCAAGCTCTCGATGTTGTGCAGCTCCAGCATCAGGTTCTCCAGCTGACCAACGTGGCCCAAGTCGAGCAGTCGGAGATTGGGCAGCGATCTCAGTGTTTCCGGCTGCAGTGTCCTGAGTTGGTTGCCATTCAGGAGAAGGGTTTGCAGATTCCTGTTCTTGAAAAAGAGCCCGTGTGGCAGGTTGACCATCTGATTGCTGCTCAAGTCCAGGTGCACCAGCTCCACCAGGGGATCGAAAGTGCTGGTGATGATCTCTTGGATTCCATTGCCCTGAAGGCCCAGCAATCTTAGCTTGGACAACCCCTTGAAGGCACCTGTGTGCACCGTGTGAATGGTGCTCTGTCCCAGTTCCAGAATCTCCAAGCGGGGCACCGCAGTGAAGATCTCATCCCGTAGAACTCCGAGACTGGTTCCCTGCATTTGCAGCGAGGTGAGATTTCCCACCGGACGGAGACTCTCCTTACTGATGTGGTAGGTGGCGCAGTTCCGGATGACCAGTGTCCGCAGTCCAGGAGTGAGGTTCAGGACTAACCAGGTCACCGATTGCCGGCTGCAGTTCGTCAGGTGCAGTTCCCGGAGTCCCAGTGCCGGAGTCTCCGAGTAGGCCACCGGTCGATCACTCAACTTGCAGAAGGAATCCGGACAACTGGCACTGAGGTTGAAGCGCCCGGTGGCATCGTAAACCGGGGAAGTATCGCCCTCTTTCAAGATGAAAATTCCAAGTAAAATATATACACACCAGTTCATAATAATATGAGTTATGGAAAGCGTTTCACTTCGCTCGCGCTTTGTTTGACTGCAAATAATGCACTGAATTCGAGCTCAGCATCGTTCGCTTATCATCTGACTTTGTGGATCCGCGTGGAGAGCGTTACTTATTGCTGATAGTGATGTAAAGCCCCTGGGAAGCTTTGCTGATCACAACAATGTAGAGCTTTCTCATCATGTTGCCAGCGATAAGAGAAATCCGAGCTCGACGTTCTGGGTGGACCCTGTTTGTTTAAGTACCTAAAAGTACTTTTGATGATAATAGTTAATATAATAAAATGTGCTAGAATACTTATAAAGTTTATGTATGGAAGGAAAGGGTACATCAACATATCAAATTAATCAACAGACTCGAAGTCTTTGGGCTTTCTTTTAATACCCAGTAAATACGTCAAATGCCAGGAACATCTTCGCTTATCTCGGACAACCTTCCAACATGTTCCACATGAAAGGGAGTTTATTTGCTCAGCGCGAAGGAGAGATCCTTTAATTCCCTGCATAATTCCAAATCAGACAAGCGTTAAAAACATTTCATTATAACGCTACACAATCGGAATATTTAATGATTTAATCGGCCGCTCGAATCGGGAACAACACCTAAGAACTAAGCAAAGGACGAGCAGAAGAGGCTGCATTCGCGTCTCGATAAACTGCTTCAAATTCACAGATTTTAAATTTAAAATCGCTGCCACACGGCGCAGGGCAGGCGAACATGTAAAAAGCAGCCGGGTCTCCGAGCCAAGATCTCCCCATGCCACCATGCCACCATACCACCGTCTATATCGCCAACCATACCATTCCATTCCCGAGTTGGCTCGATGGCAAGCGTTGGCTCGATATAATGGCGCGAGTTTCATGTTTACAAAAAAGATTATGCAGCCCCAAACAACGAGGGAACAGCTCGGAGAACCGAGAACCACGAGATGCAAACGTGCAGAGGTTGCAGGCAACTCGCAGCTCGCAGACCGAAGATGGAACCTGGAAACTGGCAACTCAAACTGGAGTTCTAATTAAACAATTCGTAGAATTTCGCGTTAATTGCGAGAAAACGACTTGAACGTGCTCGGCGGATTGGCTGAGGTTCTGGGACTCTGGTTCTCCGCCAACCTCCTTTTGGATGCCCCACCACTCCAAGTTTGAACCTCCTTTCCCAACCCAATCCCCCGCTTTAAGGTGACACGTTCTGAGGGAGTAATGTGCGTACACCTAGAAAAGAAGATAGTTTATCAAATACCTAAATATCTTTAAATACTTGGCTTAATAAATTCTCATACTGATAGCTTAAGTAAGTACTTAATTATTATAAAGTAATAACACTTCATTAACTTTTAAATACCTATGATATCTCATCGTTCAGAAGCTATAAAGGAAAGTCAAATTATATTGATTAAACAATAATAGCTAGGGTTAATTCCTTTTGGGTTTTTCTTAGTGCAGTGGGAAAGCTTTGCACTTTGCCTAGATCCGGTGTCATTCGACTGTCTGTGAGTGCCTCCATTTGACGAGGATGAGCCCTGTTATTAACACGCCTCCCGGCATTACCCCCCGCCTCCCCTTCGACAAACTTGGACAATGCCCTGGACTTTTTACACATGTGAAGGCTGGCCGAGTTGGAAAGAAAACTCAATTCAAATTATCGCCAAACAAGATCGACAGATGTTCAGCTGGCTCAACAACAACAGAAATGCCGAGATGAAAGGGGATCGGGCAAGGGGAAAGGGGCAAGGGGAAGGGGGACTGGGAGAGAGGTCAATGAGGTGCACCGACCGATCGGCCAGATCGATCTTCCTGCAGTCGAAAAGCCCGAAGCCAGAGTCGAAAGCAGTCGCACGTCTCGCTGAGCAAATAACGCCCCAAAATGAAATAACACAAGGCAGCGAACTAAACCCTTTAATCTAAACCACTTTGGGCCATGGCAGTGCAGATCCCTCGATTCCTCGATCCCGATCCCCCGATCCCTCGATCCCGAAGCGATGCGATCGACAACGCCACGCATATTTCGCATAGCCCAGGCACACCTCTTCGCCAAAGTCCAACCGAAAATGCCGGCGATGGGCGAGCAGGAGGGGAAGCCCCGAAAAATGAAGGAATACGAAACAAAGTCGCCCAACAAAGAGCAGGGCCATAGGAACCCATGGGCACTCCGATCCGCAGGGAAGGAGGCAGGGAGAGCCGCGCTACCGTCATCATCGTCGCCAGCACTCCGATCCATTCTTCTGGTCGATCATCCGCACTCGTCATCGTGCCCGTCATCGTGTCCTCATCCCAGGGCTTCGCCTTATCGGGCCCGATTAATCTGCCATCGCTGTCGCTGATAAGGCCGGCAAATGGACGACCCTCTCGCCGGAGCTCCTCGGCCCGAATCCTCTTCAGAACCCACCACAAAATGCAGCCGCAACCGCATCATTGTTAGCCCAGTGCGCAGTGGCAGCCAACACTCATGTTTAAATTATGATGGCTTCTAACTTGCGCCCCAACCACCGAGCCTCCGTCAAATCGAATGTGGGCATATGGGTTATGGGCTATGGGCTTCAGTTGCTCATCGCCATCCCTCTTTCTCCGATCGTGTCAGAAGTCATGCTGCTGACATGGCTGACGACCCATTGACAAATGCCCTGATTGAAGACCCGTTCTTCCAGTCAATGGACAAACGCTAAGCGCTCATCAAGAAGTTCGGCAAATGGTAAAGGGTCTACTCGATGAAGCTCTACATTTCTCAGATTAAATCCTTGTGCGAGAGCAATATATTTAAGTCGGAAATACTTCCATGGCTGCAATTCCTGAGCCCACAACTTTGCCAATTTTCAACCGACTTCAAAGTGGCGTACTTCTAAACGTTTGTAATCGCATCCTGAAAACAACTGCATTCAGATGGTCGAAATAAATATACTATATAGAGTATATACTATAATAATAATAATAAATAAAGAAATTAATTAAATTTTTTAAATGGAGGTGTTTTCTTTAAATGTTCCTCTTTCTTATTATTAAACCTCAAATCCTTTTTCTCTTCCCAGTCGATGTCATCATGACTGCTGTTCAATTAAGATTATAAATCAAGCGATAATCCGAAGCAAAGCGAATAATAGCTGAGTTAATTCGTCAGGGAACACAGGAGGCAGCTATCTGAGCTATCTAATCGGTGGCATCTACATGGGGTTCATCCTGGCGTATGCGTAATGCGCGTTTGTCACTCGCAGCTGGCGATCTGCTCCGCACTGCGATTTCCCTGCCCGGCAAACCAACCTCACAAACAATAATCTCTGAATCCGATTTGACTGAGCTTCGTTTTATTTAAACACAATCGCTGATGCATAATTAATTAAAAGGTTTTTCAATGTGGATTTTTTCAGCGAATGTTTTGTTTACTTTTTGCTCGCTGTCTTCTTTTGACAACACGCCCCAAAAAAAAGCGGTGGCCGCTTGTTGGTTGGCTGATTCCGAATCGGAATCTGGTTCTGGTTGTGGCTGTGGCTGTGGCTGTGTCGCTGGGTTGTGGGCCCTTATCTTGTAAATTGAATTATGAAATCGTCAACTTGAAACCGAACTGAATGCAGCCGAAAGCCAACGGAGGCTGCTCCTTTTTGTCCCTGGAAGCCGGGGAATCAGTTAAGGGAGCATGACAACGACAACTAGCAGCTGCCCAATGACCAGCCAGCCAGTCAGCCAGCCAACTCCTGCCCTCTGCGTCCTCTGCGAGTGAGTGAGCAAACAAAACGGGCATTTAACATAATCATATCATATCGTCGTAGGCATCACATCGCTGCCGAGCTGAAACCACTTAAGTTGGCCCAGGACGAAAACGAGAACGAAAACGAGGCTGTGGATGAAGATGAGGATGAGTCTGGCCATTTGCATATGTCTCTCGCCCCCTTGCCACGCCCCCTGTGGCTTGTTTGTTCGGCAGCACGAATGAGCAGCATTTGGGAGATATCTGCCTTTCATTGCTTTATTTGCCTCTGCTGGCCTGCTTTTGACTTCTCCGCTGGAAAGGGCCAGCCTGACCATCCTGAGCTTCTTTCTCCCCGCCCAATTTTAGATCCAGATCCTGTCAAAACATAAACAAGCATAGAAAACATTTAAAAAGTCAAGTTGGCGGTTGCACTGGCATTTATTTAACCATTTTCTAGAACTAATAAATAATGAATATTCGTAATTATTAAATTGTGCTTTAAAGCTAAATATTTGAGGTATATAAAATTCGTTATGTGAATTCAGAATAAATCATATTACCTCCCAGTTTATTTTCAATAATTTTTTCAAGTGCACTCATAAAAAGAAAATCTGAAAACGCTTTCGTTTGTTCTAATCGCAGCGGCAGCATCGCAGCATCGAGTTTGCTGGGCTGTCGGGTTTTGGTAATTGAGAATATAATTACACGAATTACGACGCAGTCGCCGTGTTTATCTGACCGTTAGCATCTGCCTTTCATCTCGCTGCCTCAGTTGCCTGAAGTTGACAGGCCCAAGTGCGTTCCAATGGGCTCTATTGTGGGCTCGGATCCCCAGGCGATGCCATGGCAGCCAGCTGGACTGGCCAAGAACTCAAGTCGAGCATGTGTCCGCTTTCACAGCGCCGGGCAATTGACAAACAGCACTCGTAAATACACACAACTATATACACACACTGCCAGCGAAAAGGGATGCCGCACAATTGTCACTTCCCAAAGCAATTACGTTACAATTTAAGCGTGTAAACAAAAAATTACAAAGTTGTTAGGCCAAAATGGCAACCATTCTGCCAGTCATCGCAGGCCGCCAGCAACTGGAAATAATTTGAAGAGGGAGGAAAAACCCGAAGAGTGTACTCCATGGAAAAACATAACTTTTGATCAATTCTAATCTTTAATGCCACTCGACAGTTAAAAAACTTGATAAGATTATCTCTACTGAAACTTGAAGCTTCAATTAATTTTGACTGTATGGAAGTTAGAAAAATTGGAAAATACACAGTTTAAAATTGTATAAAAATTCTCCTCGTTCCCCCTTTCCATCCAATTAATTACCTTCACACCCAACCAGCCTGAAATAATTGGTGGCTGCTCCGAAACTGACAGGTCAACCCAGCTTAAAT